TTCCGTGTATTGGGGAACGCTATGCTTCGGGAATTTTGTTTGACATTGTTACATTCATTTTAGTTTTGTAGAATAAAATTTAATTTTCGGTAAATTATATTTCCTAAATTTTTTTATCGCGGTTAAAAGTTCGTTTTAAAACACTTCTTACCCAGAAACCGGTTTTACCGGAACGGTATAGATAGGGCATTGCATACATAGTTTCTCGGTAATAAGGGTTATCCTGGTTCACCATAATTCAAATTGTTCAAAAAAGAAGGCTCAAATTTTGGTATGTGCAATTTGGTAATAAAATAGTCTTTGGTTCCAGCTCTTGTCCAGGTTAAACAAATTTAAGATAACGGAGAAAAATGGAAAAACAAAATAGGTGGTACACGATCACCGCACTCACTTTACTAAGTGCACTTGAAAAATATTCCAAAACTACAATTTCAATAAGAAAACTAAAGTCCATTTTGATAATACTATGAAAATAAGAGAACAGAATAAATGTTATGTTATGTCTGCTTTTTGAAAAACACATTATTTTTAAATAATGTACGTATGTAGCCATATTGTATTCAAATTTTCCAAGTTTATTATTGTCAAGTGAAACTACAACAAAATTTATTTAAAATAACTTTATTATATCTCTAATCTCCTATATAAATGACGTTTAATTGAAAAATACCGTTATTTTGTTTATGACATTTGAAATCATAATTTTTATTATATTTGTTATTTATTGTTCATTTGTGCTATAAACATATTTCTTTTTTTTTTTGTACATAAATTACGGGGTACTAAAATAATAAGGGATTAATATTTTTAAATTATGATTTGACCGAGTTTTCTAATTTTTTTGTGTCTCCCCTGAATATGAAAATATAATAATAAATTAGACCTTCAAATGCGATTACGGAAAATATCAAGAACTTTCCAATGAAACCTACTTATTAAGTTAAAAGAAAAAATTTTTTTTCCTAATAAATTTTATTTATTTTTATTTAATAAGCGTTCTAAATTCGATAATTAAATTAAATTTCATTTGATGTCTTGAAATTTTATTACTTTGAAAATATGAAAGATTTTTTTTCAAATTTAAATCGTTATTGAATGTAATTCAATAATTTTTAATAATATAAGAAAATATTGAAAATTGTTATATGTATAAGTATTTTATCATGTTATTTTCATTATATCAGTTTTCATATGGTAATTTCTTAAGGTGAATTCATTTATTTTTTTAATTATTACAATTTAAAGCTGTAATTGATGTTCGAATATTGTAAAATACAAAATATTTATATTCAATTATTTCGAATAAAGCCCATTACTTTGATAATAATTTTTTCTTCTTAACAATATTGGTCTTATGAATTCTTATTAATTTTTTTATTTAAACAAAGTATACGATACAATTTATTCAAAGCACCATTCTACCACAAGATAAATTACCAAATTGTTAAGAATTTTTGTTTTCTACGTCATTCATATAGGGGCCAATTAAATTTTATCGTAAATCATTAACGCGATAATTAAAGATGAAAATCGGTATTCATTATTTTCATTATGGAATTTTATTTGAAATTGAACTTTAATTTATTATTTATTTTATATCTTGGAATCAACATTAGATTTTTCTAAGAAAATATTCGCTATAATACTTAAAATATTCCAAATATTTCAAAATTAATCAAAATAATTTCACTTTGAATCATTTGTCATTAACATATGGTTTCATCTTTAAAATCATCATGGGGTGATAAAAAAAATAAATTTGTAATACCCAAAATGAAAGTAATTTAATCAAATTAAATTTAATTAATAAATTATTGTTAATGTTTTTAAAATATTAAATAAAATTTGAATAATGAAAATTCAAATATTTGAAAAAAAAATTTACTTTAATGGCAAAGTTCTAATTTCAATTGCGAGAAATTTTTTTAAATTCTTGGTAATATTTTAATGTTCAATAAAAACTTTAATAAAATTTTTATTCTTTTGAATCCTTGTATTTAAAGTACTACTCATTTATGTGTTGTATCTTTTTTGAAAGTAATATTTAAATTATAATTTTATTAATTATATTACATGTGCATACAGACGCTATAAATTTCAAAAAAAAAAAAATGGGTATAAAAATAGTAATTTTATGGCAGCGCGGCGCGAGGTTGTTAAATACAAAAAAAAAAAATATTCAATTTAAGAAATTAAAAATTAAAATGAATTTAATATAAAAAAAAAAATTTTAATGTGTATTTATTAAGGTAATTTTGAAAAAGAATCCTCTAAAAATAATCTTAATTTCATGGATCATCATAAAATTTATATAACATACATGTATACAAGCACAATAATAAATATAAATAAACAAGTAAACACAAATACGGAGATTTAAAAAAAAGAATATTATTAATTATTGTGAATTATTCATACTCTTATTATTTCTAAAAATTATTAAATATAAAATTTTAAATTGGTGTTCTATACCAGCACATATTGTAGATCTACAATCTACCAGCACATTTAGGGTTGCCATCATTTTCATTAAATATTTTTTTTTTAGAAATTGTGTTATTAATTGAATTTCTTTGCTTCTGCTTTAGTAAAAGATTTAGCAATTATTTGTCAGTTTTAGTATAAATGGACTCTTAAAAGACAATATTTTAATACCAAAGTATTTCACTACGAAAATTTAAGTTTATTGTTTATTACAATTAATTTCATTCTTGCTCTAACGCAACAGTTGGCAAATAGTTGTGGATTTTGGGAAGATATGTACTATATGAGTATGATTTTGGGGTACTCGATTATCTTAAATTATCTACTTACAAGAAGAAATGACATTTTGAACTAATTTTATTGATTATTTTCTTTTGACAAATGATAAATTTGTATGAGATTTTTTTGTACCTATATACTCGTATCTTGTATGTGATGTCTAACTCAATCTATGATTGAGTTCTTAAAATTTTTTGATTTTCGAAATCGATTATTTTTCTATCTTGCAAACAGAATGATTGGTCGCACTTTTCCGATGGCTGCTCTAACGCATATTACATACGGTAAAATAAAAATAATTGTATATTTCCTAACTGCTGTGGGAATAGTCTGGATTCTATTTACTGACAGCTTTTAAATAATATTTACTTCCAATATATAATCTCCCTATTTTTTGCAGCTTTTGGGCATTAAGCATTTTATTCATTATAAATTGTAGCTACCGCTGTTCAAAGTAATCATAGGAATTTTTGATTTAATTTTTTCAAAAATCTTTTTTACCATTTTTTTTTTTTTGCAAAATAAAATTAAACTAAAATTTTAAATTGACAAAAATCCTTAATCTTAGTCACAAAATTTATTATAGTACTAAATTTTATAATTTTTCAAAAAATAATTTTTCATAATATTTTATGATTTTCATTTATTAATTATAACATATGTCAAAATTTTTTATATAGTTAATAAAACTAAAATATTGTTAAATAATATGATTTTAAAAATAAAAGTAAAAATTACGATTTGAATTTTAGAAAAATTTATTTGTGCGACAATTATTGTAATAAATTCTTATGGGAACAAAATTAAAACGAGAAAATTTAAGAAATTAAAAATTAAAATTTGTGTCGACTTTTAAAATTTGAAATAAGTATCTATAGTGGCTAATTTTGAAATCAACAAAAATGGATGCAGCTGCTGAATTTTACTGGTCAAAAGAACAATAACAATAATAAAAAAAAAACATATCCAATTCTTAAGAAGAATAAATTTTTTTTTTTTTGTGAAATTTTCTTATTTAATTTTTTTGTTTTGCTTTTTTCTACTCAAATTATTTTATGATATTTTAGAATTAGCCAAAACGCAAAAAATATTTTAATTATTGGGAGAAAAACACATAATTTTCCCGTCAAGTAAATTTTTTTCTTATTGTTTTTATTTATTTTTCGCTATCGTACAAGCATAGGTTGTGTGACAGACACTAAAATTTACTTTTGAACCAAAAAACAAAAACAAAAGCAAAATAACAAAAAATCATTACAAAATTTCATTATACGTGAAAAAAAAAATTGAATTTTGTTAGACGTGAAAATTTCATATTAGAAAATTTTTTTAAAAATGGAATTTTCACTGTTTTTTTCCTTGCTTTTTCATAAATATTTACAAAAAAAATAATTTAAATTTAAAAAAAAAATTTTTTTTGTGTTTTTTGAAATTACCACAGAAAGAAAAAAAATATTTAAAAATTTTTTTTTCTTAAATTTTTGTGGTGACATTTTTTGTTATTTTTTTTTTCTTTTTTTTTGCTTGCAATCAAAAATAGCATATGAGGTAGCGAAGGTGTAGAGAAAAATGTTGCGAAACGCACTTTAACGCCTCGCCTCAATACAATTCGATTAGACATCATCATTATTGTCATTTTTTATTTTAGTTGTTTTTTGTTTTTCCTTATATTATTTGTGGATTTTTCTATTTTCTTTAAAAACTATTTTGAAGAATAAAAATTTTTAAATGAAAAATTTTTTAATATTATATTTTAAAAATGAAAAAAAAAAAATTACTTTAACATAAATTTATTGAAATAGCCTTCGATTTTGAAATTTTTAAAATTAAAAAGAAAAAAAATTGTTGTTTTAATTAGGTAGGTATAATTGATTGTTGAAATTTGAGGTTACATAAAATGTTTTAGAAATTTTTCTAGCACAAATTTAAAAAAAATTATTTTTGCTTAATTTTTTTAATTCATTGGTATTTCTAATCATTAATATTAATTTTATAATAGAGGAATAGAGGAGCCTTTTATGTAATTTATGATCACATTCTTATTTTCACTTAAGAGTCGTGCCATAACATTACTGACAAACAGTTAAAATTGAAATTTATTGAATTATCGGTTGATGGCAGTGCACAAGAAGAAAATTTGCAAATAATTTCTAACATTTGCCGTATACATTTAATATTTTTATAAAATTTTTAAAAATTAAATAATAATAATATTGCATTTGAATTTAAAAACTTACCTTTTCTAATTATTTCATCCTCACTTAATTGTTCTGATATTCTATCGGCATCAATTAATTCTGATGATAGATCAGACCTTTCATCATTTGTTTCTAAGGAATTTTTCTGAAGATTAAATTTGTGACATACTTCAAATGCTTGTCCTACAGTCCTAACAATTCTCATTGCTTGTGACTAAAAGAATAAATGAAAAATAATAATTTTGTCATTTTCTAATATTAAAAATTTTTAATTGGAAAATAGTAGATATTATAAAAATAATAGATATTTAACTTTTTACATTTATTTTCTTGTTCTTTTTAAAACTAATTCGATATTCACTGACTTAGCTCTTATAAAAATTCTATAGAATTTCAGAATATTAAATTCAAATACAAGTAAAGCACGATAAAATAATAAGCTTACAATTCATTTTTAAAAAATTAAAAAGAGTAGTTTTTTTACCTCAAGATCTGATTCAGACTCACTATATTGCTTGGTCAGGACACCACGACCGCCACTACTTATATTGCTAGAATTATTTAAGTTTAATTTATTGTTGCTATTCCATCTTCGATCATCAATTTGTTGCTGAAAAGATGGGTAACTTTGTTGTAGTTGCTGTTGTTGTTGTTGCTGTTGTTGTTGCTGTTGTTGTTGCAGTCGTTGTTGCTGAAGTAACAATTGTTGTTGTAACTGTTGCTGATTAATCATATTAATATTGAATTGTGGTATCTGATTATTGTAGATAACATTTTGTTGTTGTTGTTGTTGTTGTAATTGTAATTGTTGTTGCAATTGTTGTTGTAACTGTAATTGTTGCTGTTGTTGTTGCTCTAATTGTTGCTGATATAATATGTCTGGATTTCGTTTTTGAGTTGGAGATGCTGGTGATGTTGAAGCTGGAGAAGATTTTTGTTGCTCCTGTTGTTGTTCCTGCTGCTGTTGCTGTGATTGTGTTGAATATTTTTCTTGTAATTCAGTCTTACGTTGTGATACAATTGGATCACGAAAGGATAATTTTTTTCTGGGGCGATTTGATGATTTTGGAGTACCCATTGCTGATGTTGGTGAAGTACTTGGATTACAAACAACACTACCACCACTACCAGCACTCATTGATGATGTATTTGTCGCACTTGAAGAATGACTACCACTGCTACTACCGCTACCCATACGATCTGGATTAATTTGACTTTTGTTGGATTTCGGACTGCTGGTATTTGCAATAACTGTACTTTTATCAGAAGAATTTTTCATATCACGTGAATAAATTATTTCAGATCGTCGATTAGAAATGTTAATTGGGCTTGTCGTACCCGATGATTTTTCTTTTTGTGCTTTAGTTTGATTATACGATGGTGTATCAAGTGAATTGTGACGATAAAGAATGCCACGTTTTTGTGTTGATGTATTAGTTGGAGAGTTCGTATTTAATTGCGTATTATTGCTATTATTTTGAATATTATCAACCGATTGATGTCTTTTAGATGAATTCACCTTATTATTATCTACATCCGTAGAATTTTTGTTTACAATAGTATTTGAATTTCGCATTTTTGGACTAGTATTATTGCTATTACTATAATTTTTACCATTAACATTTGTCTTTTCTTGACCTGAACTTACAGTATAATCAATATTGCAGCGTTTAATAACTGGTTTCTCCTTACGTATAAAATAAATTGTATTTTCATCTTTAAATAAAATATGTTTTTTCAAATGTTGTCCAATTTTATTTGGCATTACATTTTCAACATTGTATATGTAATTGTCTTCATTATTAGGATCATTGTAAACTTCATATTGTGTGATACTTGTATTATTTCCATTGCTGTTATTTTCATTATTCTCTTCATTTTTAAGGATATTTTCAATGAATGTATCGTCTAAGAAACATGTTTGACGTGATCTTTTATAAATGCTATCAGTATCGGAATCATCATCAATTTGACTCTCTATTTCTTCAATAATTTCATCAATATCTAAACTTTTATTACGTACTAATTTACGTCCTTTACGCTGACTGGCAACTGTATTTTGTTTATGTATTAAATCACTTTTTGGATTTTTACGATTTGAACGATCTGATAAAATTTCACGTATTATATTACTTGAACAGAATAAGCCTTTATGATGAACATGATTATTAGGAGATGTTGGTGTTCCAGTGGTTGCTATAACATCTGTTGTTGAACCTTTTTCCCGTTCAATTGATTTTTTACTACGTTGACGTGGCCACGGTAAAAATTCAAATGCTCTACTTATTGTATTTTTAGGTGAACTTGTTGGTGATCCAATATGAATATTCTTGTGACGCCATACTTCATTTAAACTACGAATTACTTCAACCGGTTTACGGAAATGGCTAAGTGGAGGTGTTCCACCACTGACTGCAATATCAATGGGAACTGGTGATGTTGGTCTTTGTTCTTGACGCATCATTCTTAATTAATTTTAATTTTTTTTTATTTTCTAAATAAAATTATTTTAATTGAAGTTTTGTAACAATTTTAAGTTCTAAAATTTAGTACAAACTTTTAGTACAAAATTTTTCAAAATTTTACAAAACACCATTTGTTTATTTAAATTATTGAATTTATTTTATTTTGAAGTTATTTGCACATATCTAAAAAAATAAAAGTTTTAGAACTAATTTAAATTTTGTTGTTCTTTTTTTGTATTGTTCTAAAAATATACCATCATCTGATAGGATATTGTTTTTGTTATTTTTTCTTTTTTATTTTAGACCAGTATTTTATTGATTTTTTTTATTTTTTTTAAGTTTACCATTTAACCTAATTTCAGGAGGGAAACGAAAATATTCAGGGGGTGTTATACACATCAATTATCTGCTATCTTTTTCTAGCTTATTACAAATATTTTATTATTAAGTTTTAAATATAAAATATATAAATTAAGATTTAAAATTTTTTTTCTTTTTTTGTAAAATAATTTGAGAAATTATGAAAAAATAAAAATTCAGGTTGAAAATCAATGTAGAGAAAGTGGTTTTATTTTTGCAAAATTTAACAGAATAAATCCTATGTGTCACTTCTTAATCACTTTCCCTTCCCACTTCCTCTTTCACTCACAGTGTTTTTTCGGTGTTAGTATAGAAGAATCCAAAAATATATAAATTGTAGTTAGTATTATTTTTGTTTTGGTTGTTCTTAATTTTTTAATGGATTTTTCTAGTTTTTTTGTTTAAAAATTTTGAATTTATTTCTTCTCTTTTAAAATTTAAGCAACAAAAAAATTATTTTTTTTTTTTAAATAAAATTTATCTAAAAATAACCCAAGAGAAAATTATTTTCTTTTTGAATATTACTGTGCAAAATTAAAAAAAAAATTTACACATATACTTAATATACATACATAATAATTTTGTACATACATAGTACTTACAAGTGTACATGTAGTAGAATTAATCTCAATTCCATATAGATTTTATATTTTTATAAATGTATTTGCAATTTGAAAACACTCATAAAATATATTCCCAGACAATAATAGAATATCAATGTCCCGAGAGATGGACATTTTATTATAATTATTGCACATACATATATATATACATACATATACACTAGCACACAAAATAAATTGATTATAATACAGGATGTTACGAAAATTTTTAAATTTAATATTCAATTTATATAATAAGAAAATAAATTTTATGTGTTTCGTAGTAGGAAGTAATCTTTTGCTTTTAAGTGCTTTCAAAATTAATAAATACACAAAAAGTAGAGAAGAGCAATATTCGCGTTATTTAATTGTTGATTCAATTGTTTTGGATTTAATATTTAAAAAATTTGCATTCTCTTTTAAAATAAATAAACATTGAAATTACTTATAACAAAATGAAAATGAAAAAATAATTTTGACAGTAAAATTGTGCAAAATTTAATGTTATTGGTCGCGAATTTTTGTAAGATTTGAAATTATATTTTTAAAGTATTCATATCGTGTTTATAAAACGAATATTTTAAATTTTATTTGTTACATTACTTGTTTCGTTACCATAGTTTATGAAGAATAGAAAAATTGTTTTACAAATTAATTTACTACGATAAAAACCAATTTTTAATAATTCAAGGCAAATTTTATTCTGTAATTTTTTTGCCACTTTAACAGGCAATTCATTCAAACCCATTCGTCGACTTTTATTTCATACGCCGACCTGTTTAATGGCCGAGAGTCCCGAATAGATCACTTTCACCATAATTCTGACACAACAACACTCAGGTCTTTTCTTAAGGTAAGGACCGAATTATAAATTTTTTTTGCAACACTACTTGCAGTTTACTCTTTAAAACCATGTCACCGATTCTCCATAAAATTATTCCTAATAAGGGATTGCGTCATTGTGATATTAATGACTTAGGCTATTCAAAAATCCTGTTGAGATGTGTGGTTGGGACCTGATTCAGTTTTATCGAATACTCTTGCACCAAGTCTTTAGTTTATCTAAAACTATATTTAGAACAGAATTTTTAATACAGGAATAAAAAGAAAAGGATAATACTATTATTGTCATGTTTCTCAATAAATTCGATCTTGCTCACAATAATGACATATTTTGGGCAATAAAACTTTCTCTTAATGAAAAATTAATAACAAATTGTTGGTTTATTGAAAGAGTGTTTACTATTTCATTTTCCCAACTTTACAACAAACCTTTATCGTGTATAACTTATAATTTTCCAGTTTTATTTACTTATACTCATTTATTTATTAACATTTTTTTCTTTTTTAACATTGGCCTCAATTTTACCTCAACTAATAAATTAAATGTTGAAATTATTTTGATATGTAGTTGTTCCATGAGTACTTAACATAAATAACAATAAGAAACTCACGTTTCCTTGTTTTCTTATAATTTTTTTTTATGTTGAACCATTATGTACCATAAAAAATATTATGGGCTTTCCTACCCAATTAATTATTTATAAATGATTAAGAATAAACTTCTATTAAATTTTAAGAAACTTTATTTTCTAAATAATATTATTACTTGAACATAAATTAATGTTGAATGAAAATCAAAATAGAAATTAGTAAAACTAGTTCTTCTTCTTGTTATTAAGTTTTGATAAATTGTACAATTATAAAAGTTTACGAATACATAATGGAAAACCTCAATAAGTCAATAATAAATTAGCAAATAAGAATTAATAATAAAACCCATGAAGTAAGTAATAAACTTTTACAAAACGTGTGAGTATGCAAATATATAATTTATAAAAATATATATTATTATCCTAAACATGTCGATATAGAAATAGAAGAGGATATAGGCAATTTACTCAAAAGCACTTGCTGGTATCGAAAGGGCGATTCTTGGTATCATTTTATTCGGGTAATTTTAATAAGTCTATAATCATTAATTACACTCTTGCAATTTGTGGTGTATATGCGACTTTATGAAAACAAAAAAGGTTTCATAAAAATGTTTAATGAAAAAATTCTGTATATAAGAAAAATTTCCAATTTACTTTTACAAATTTTAACACTTAAAGTCTTAACCATTAAAAATTTTCTTCTCTTATGAAAAAAAAATTTTTCAAAATTCTTTAATTCTGTTTTACAATAATCACCATGAATTGTTTACACAGCTGTTAAACTACATTTTTACAATAATAAAAATAATGTTTCGAAAAATTTTCATTGCGGCGAATTTCTAAATTATCCATACAATTTATTCTAATTATTCAATTAGCCAAAATAAATTCATATTAATAAAAACGAACAAAATGAAAAAAAAAAACATTTTCCTATAAGATTATTTTACTCATTTTCCGATTTGTAATATTATTATTATTATTTTTTTCTTTTGCCTCACTTATAATAATATGCTAATTAGAATTTTATACAAAAGAAGAAGAAAAAAAAAAACATTATAAATATAAATGTAATCAATTTGCGGTTAAATAGCATTTTACGCCGATTATAGTATAAGAGAAAAATGAAATAATCCGAAAATCTTTACATTACATAACAGTATTAGAATTAAAGACGGCCATTAGCAGCCAGATGTTAATTAATAATTTTTGTTGAACAAAATTTGTTTTCTTTTATACACAAAGTAATTTTAATATTAAGAATAGTGAACTTGAGTGAGTACATACATACTTACATTGCGTTTCTATCAAGTCTATACAGAATTTACATTTGAATTATTTTTTTTTTTCACTTTAGAATAATTTGGAATGAAATTTCAACAATAATTTTTAATGTATCGTTACTTTGTGCTGGAAACTTTAATTTCATATACAAAATACTGTACGATATGTAGTAAATGATGTGTAATATTTATATACATACTTATATAGGTTTTTTGATTTCAACTTTTTAATTATATGGTAATCAATTTGAATTTAAAATTTTATTATTAGTAATAAAGTGTTCACAAAATGAATTTTGATTATTGCTTATTTTAAATAAAATTCTTTATTTTATTTGTATATGAGTATAAAATTTAACATTTCACTCATTTTGTATAATAATTATATTGTACAATAATTAAAGAACAAAAACTTAATTAAGAAAATTGTAATTAAAAATTGATTTTCAATAATTTTTCAACTTATAAAATAAGTTATAAAATTAAATTTAGTTTTATAGCTCAAAATATTTTGAAATTGGTTTGGTTTTATGATCTTTTTTTTTTACAATATTTATGTAAAATTTATGTAAAATTAAAAAAAAAATTCAATAGGATACGGGAGCAGTCATTTAAATAAATTAGTATGAGGAAAATTGTATTAGTACAATCTATATATCGTCGGCAGAGTGCTATTTTGACTTAAGACCACTTTCATACATTTTCGAGAATGATCTTTAATTACATGTAATCAGTTTTTCTCTATCTCATTTATTTTCCTAGATACGTAGATGTCGTTTTGGCCCACCTCCACTTATAATTCGATATGATCCATATCCAAAATCGTTGACATATGGGTGAAATTGTCATATATGTAAATGTTTCAAAAAATTTTGAGTTTTATAATGGTACACATATTCTGGTACACATCCATAAAATAATATTTACATAAAAACCAATTACGCAAAAAATACTTCAAATTATTATAAAAATAAAATTAACTATCAACAATGTTCATAAATATAAAAAAAAACAGTGCGGTACTTATTTGACTTTACTTAAAAAATTATTTCAAAATCCTATGCACATGCAGAAATCAGGTAGTTTTACATAATCACCTATCCTTTTAACTTTTTTTTTACTTAACTTGCTATAACTCCCGATCCTTTTTTGAAATTGAATTAAATTTTAAAGTCAAACCCTTAAAACTACCATAAACCTACTGACAAATAAATCCCATCACGCAGTTTTGAATTAAATTATTTCTAAACCTCTAACGTGATTTTCTCGTTTCAAAAATTATGTCGTATGGATGAAAATAGCACTCAGCCGACAATATCTTAAAATTTCTGCTGGGAAATTAAGAAAAAGCAATGGTTTAACAACACTAAAAAAATT